AATGCCACGCTCGGTTTGCTGTCGAAGCATAGAATCTGTCCGCAGAATTGAAACTCCTGTGTTTCCTGCGGTCTGTTTCTTTGTTTTATCGCTAGTCCGCTCTCGCGCGAGCCGGGTCCAGCGCGTTATTTGCCTCCAAGAAGGGCTCGCGCGGACCGTAAGCAGGATATGATCCGCGTAAGTTCTTAGTTTCTGACGCTAATAAACGTTTTGTTTTTATTTAATCGTGTCAAGTCATGCACTCAATACAGATACGCAACATTTTCAACCATCTGCAACAAAATAGAAATAGTTCTACAAATACTTTTATTTTATTTCCTTCTTATTTTTGTCTAAGCTCAAGGGAGCCAGAGCAGCGGGCTTGGGCCGCGGGTTGCCGACCCCTGGGCTAGAGCAAAAGCACTGCATACGTCACGCTTACGTCGAGGCAGGGGCGGGATCAACTCCTGAACAGAAACAAAAGGTCCGCGTTTTATCCAGTTTGTACACAGCAATGGAGAAACGTAACAAGCAGCAGTGGTCCACTGAAGAGACCAGCTACCTACTGGGAATCTGGTCTTCCAAAGAGGTACCACGAGTCGCGCTTCAACACAATCAGCTGTTGTCGCTGTGAGGGGTTTCCGTGCGGTTTGGCTTTATGAAGCAGGCATGCAAACGGTTACGTCATGACACAAACGGTGACGCAATGACGCAGCACCAGTCAGACTCTGGGCGGTGTGAAAAGAGCCGAAGCTAAACCGAAGAACCGGTTCTGAACCTGAAAAGCTCTAGCACGGAGCTTGAACCGGAGTTGCGTTGGTGTGAATGAGGTATAAGTAGTTGGAAAAAAAACACAATTGTATTCGTAATGATCCTTTAGCTAATTTTAAAAAGGCTCTTAGAACAATGGTATATTTGGTTGAACTGTTCAAAACTAAAGACACAAACTGTGTTGTATTGTATCTTACGGCTGTAACTGTACTATATGTAAAAATATGGTTGACTGACCTCTTCTTTAATATATTGCCAGGTGGTTCTTTGTCAGACACGTATCAAGGCCCAGCACGAGAAGGACAAACGCATCTACGCCAATATGTTCCAGAAATTTGCTGAGAGAGATTCAAAGGTGAGGGATTGTGCTCTCTAAAACAGCCACAAGGGGGTGGGATAGTCACGCTTCAATATTGTTAAAGATGCCTACTCTAAGTGAAATGCCATCCTGATTTTTTTTTTTCTCTCTCTTCACAAACAGATCGAACAAGACGAGGATAAAACTGAGACTACCAACAACGGCAATGATGACATGGAAGTTGAAGATGGAGAAAAGGAAGTTGCGATTGAAACAAAGGCATAGATGAAAATGTGACTTAATTGTTCACATGCTCTTCAATCTTTTGTAACTTCAGCCATTTGTGTTTAGTGTGTGTGTTTTGTTTGTGCGTACGGATGTGTCAACGAGAGCGCTGACTTTGGTAGTGTCTCTGTTGGCTTTCTTTGTGTCTGTGCTTTTTGCTGTGGCAGCTGATGGCACTGTGAGAACTGGTTTTAATAAATGATAAGAGTGCCACAACCCCACCCCTGAACCTTTTCAACTCACAGCTTTGAACTGTGCACGTGTTTTCACAGCATTTTGGGTAAAAAAAAAAGCATCCAAGTTCTAAGTGCGGACTTTCACCCGTTAAGGGCTAGACCATTCACCTTGCACTACCCTCTTTCCTCTACCCCTTCTGACGTGTTATGCTTTCCATCTCACACTCCTCATGGGCCTACTGATCAATCATGGAGTTGTGATGGTGTTGTGCATAGTAACTTTTGTCCCAAATTACGTATGTAGCGCTGGACAGTTTGAGTAATAAGACGTTAGCCCGGAATAACTTGGAGCTTCTCTCTCAACCGATAAATGGAGCTCCTTCCCCAGGGTACAGGACTATTCACATTTTTTGGGGAAATATTTACTTTGTACTTTTTTTTTTTCTTCCCAGTGTAGTGCTTGTGACTTATGTATTGTTCTCAAAATGGATGAATACAACCATTTACTTAACTGGAATATGTGCATTTTAAAGCAGCTAGAAAGGACATGAATTAGCTCCTCCTGGACACACTTAAGTAATAGAACGGTTAAGTGTTAGTCTTAATTTACTGTAAAAAGTACATGTATGATTGTGTGCATGTATAGCTCTTGAGATTGAGACTGTTAATGACGGTACACTGAACTAGGGGGCTCATTTGAAACCGGGCCACGGGTTGTGTGTTGAGTTTATCTTTGTCTTTTGGAAGGGTCACTGCTTGGTCTGCCCTGAAAGAAAGATGTAATAAAGAATAGCTTAAAAAAAAAAACATGATTTTGTGTATTATTCTTGAATGTTACAATTGTTTCGTGGCAGTTAATTTCAATCAAAAAATCCTTAGGTTAGTTATTTTCAGATTTAGATCAGAAAGCCAAACCAGGGGAACCAACACATTTAGAAGCCACTGTGTACAAGGCTGTGTGATGTCCCAACCTAGGAATGCCTGATCAACTTTTATTGGCCATTTTCTTCATTTTACAAGCTTTTAATTAGCTTAGTTAAACCAACTAGCAGAGTGGTTAAATCTGACCTGAGGCAGCAGTATCATAACTGCAGGGCCGATTTGGGAACGACAACTGGCTGAAAAGAAACCTCTCCCAGACCTAAAACCGTACACCTCCTCAGGACTGTTCCTCAGTTTTGTCTAACCCCTGCTAAAGAAGTCTGGGTGTTCCCTCAGCATAAAACACATGAACAAAAATAATAGTTTAGAGACTCAATTTACAGAGATAAAAACCATTTGAATCAGGGCTGCAATTTATAACTTACTTGATCAATTCGTTTGAGGATTATTTTTCTAGGTTGAATATTGTTTTATAAAATGTTGGTCTAAAATTTCTACTTTGTAGACTTACACTGAATACATAAAAACTATAAAAGAACACATGGAATTATCTAGTAAACAAAAGTGTTAGAAAATCCAGAATATGATTTATATTTTTGCTGGCTACTGCAGAATGCTGTGGTAGCCATGCTGGTTAAGTGTGCCTTGAATTCTTAATACATCTCCAGCAGTGACACCAGAAAAGCCCCCCCACACTATCACACTTCCTCCTTCATGCTTCACGATGGGAACCACACGTGCAGAAACCATCCGCTCACCTTCTCTGCGTCACAGCGGTTGGAACCAAACCGATTTGAGATTTCCACTTTCTGATGTCCAATCCTTGTGTTTCTTGGCCCAAACAATTATTTTCTTCTTGTTGTGCATCCTCAGTAGTGTCTTCTTTGCAGCAGTTGGACCATGAAGGCCTGATTCACGCAGTCTCCTCTGAACGGTGGATGCTGAGATTTGTCTGCTACTTGAGCTCTGTGATCATTTATGTGGGCTCTAATCTGAGGTGCTTTAATTTGCAGTTTCTGAGGCTGGTAACTCTTATGTATTTGTCCTCTGCAGCAGAGGTGAATCTTGCTCTTCCTTTCCCGGGGGGGTCCTCATGAGAGCCAGTTTCATCATAGCGTTAGATGGTTTTTGCGACTGCACTTGAAGATACATTCAAAGTTCTTTACATTTTCCAGATCGACTGGCCTTCATTTCTTAAAGTGATGATGGACGGTCGTTTCTCTTTACTGAGTTGAGTCGTTTTGGCCATAATATGGATTACAACAGTAGTCAAATAGGGCTTTCCACTGTGCACTAACCCTACCTCTGAACAACACAACTGATGGTCTCAAACACATTAAGAAGGCAAGTAATTCCACAAATTAACTCTTAACAAGGCATACCTGTCAGTTTAAAACCATTCCAGGTGACAACCTCATGAAGCTGACTGAGATAAGCCAAGAGTGTGCAAAGCTGTCATAAAGGCAAAAGGGGGTACTCTGAAGAAACTAAAATAAAAAAATATTCTGAATTTTGTAACACTTTTTGTTAACTAGATAATTCCATATGTGTTTTTTCATAGTTTTGATGTCTTCAGTATTAATCTACAAAGTAGAACAAATTAAAATAAACAAAAGCCATTGAATGAGAAAGTGTGTCCAAACTTTTGACTGGTACTGTATAGCTATATTAAAGAAGTTAGTTTACATATTTTAAAGGCTGAAAACAGCTATTTGTAATGAACAACTAAACTTTGTAGCTCTTATTTGCAACTGTCTGACTTCTTGAACCATGACTGTCTATCTATGCAATGAATACCATCATGAATTTCTCAGATCACACGACATGAACCTCACCTCCAGACATGGTGAAGTATTTGTGAAGTGAGTTGACTGTGTTGCAACTGCAAGGCTTTCAAGGCAATGCAACCGGTTTGTCTTTGCAAAATCCCTTTCTCCTTTCATATCCCTGTTCAGGAACCACTGTGAGAACTACTGCAGTGCAGACAGAGTAAATTACATATTCATACACATTTAGAATACTTTCTCATACAACCAAATGCCAGAAAAAGGATTTCCCCCAGACAATCAGGTTTAATTGCAGGAATCGGTGAGACTTCAGGACACTTACACCAAACGTATGTTTCTCAGTTTCCAGTTACAGTGCAGTAATGATTTCACCCCTGTCTGATTGAAAATCAAATTTAGTGAGGAAAAAAATTGTTTTGCCAGTTGAAAACTATGAGAAATGTGTCAATGTTATTAAGAAATCTTCTGAAAGTATTTCAAAGGAGCAAGAATTCAGCCAATCCTATACTCCATGATGTGTGACATATGCATACAGAAGGTCTAGTGTTAAAAGGTGCTTTACCACCACATCCGTTTATATTCAAGTTGACGTTTGAATAATCAGTTGCAGGTTTGATAATGAAATCATGAATTTTAATTTATTTTCATGAATTTTAATTTCTTTGGATTTTTAACTGCTGTTGAGACTAAGTAAATAACATTTTCTTATATCAGTGAATTGTGTAGAATATATGGATCTTTTCTAATATTTTATTGAACACACAAGAAAGAAAAAAAACAGAATGACTGCAGGAGAACATGTTTTATAGAGGCAGGCCTAAATATGTTTTCTGCAAAGGAGAAATACCAAAAACAATTTCCACTGTCCAAAACATATATTTAATTAAATGTCAACAACATGGAAGCATTTATATTTTGAAGGCTTTTGTGTATTTTGCTAATTATTCTAATATAAAATGTGTTTTTGCACAATGTATTGATTAGTATTTGTCAAAAGTGCAGCAGTCAAAAGGTCAGCGTCTTCTTTCCCGAGGACAAACATGATCTGATCTGATCCTCCAGCTCTCTCACAGGGACACCGGTGTCAGTTTACGAATGGGATTCTGCGGTGTGATTACTGCCCAGCATCGCTTGTTCTCTACAGGTAGATGATACAGTAAAAGAGCTATTAATTTTCCCTTTATTGTATTTGATGTATTGAAGGCTAGATGTTTTTTGATAGGATTTTCGTTTGTGTCAAAGATACTATTATCAGAGGTTGATAAAGGGAGGGTGTTTATTTTTTTCTCAGCAGCAGTAGCCATCTTCTTTTGTTCTTTGTATGCTTGCCTCACAGTGGACAAATAAACCACCATTTAATTAGAAAAGCATTTCCTTTTGTTCAAGAAAAAAATCAAATGGATTTCTACCAAACAGGTTAAACAATGCATCCACATATAACTATTATGCACTTAGAGATTATATGTGGGCCAGATGTAATTAAATTGCTCTATTTACTATATTGCATATTTGATTAAACTGTATTTGTATTCACTTTTGTTCAGGTTAGTCGTATATTACAATAACCTGACACAAACTATAGGCCTACCTTTCTATAAACTCTCACTTGCAACACATGTGCATTAGTTCGTGTTTAATGTCAATTTCTACTAATATGGGTGTTTTGTTTATAGTTTCATAATTATTGTTTAGCTTTATTGTGAACTAATGCAATTAACTAACAGCCCAGTGGACAAAGTGCTGTGCAACGAATGGGTTCTTCTTGAGAATAATTATTATAAAAATAATAACAATGTGAGGCTGCATATAGGTAGCTCCATCACTTTTTGTTGAAACACTGAAGGGAAAAACCTGTCCTACCTGTCACAGGTAAATCCCGAGGAGAATGGTGATGGGTGGGTGCTGCCCATGTTCACTCCTCCCTTTAATCCCAGAGCAAGTAGTGTCAAACTAACTACAAGAAAAAGTATTTCCGGTATGATCATATTTCAAAATAAACCACACAGTGACACTTATTTTGACGTGAGAAACAGATAACCAAAATGTGAATGAAATTATTAAATGTTACCGGTAATGTAAAGTACACTAAAGACAATAACTTGGCTATGAGCCCGTGCCAGCATCAATTCTTTATTTATCACTACTCTGATTTAACAGTTTTTTTACATTGAAGGCCGCACTTTCTCTGTTCCGATCGGTTTTCGGGCATCTGCTGTCTGTCCTGTCATGAAGTTGTGTGGAGTAAATGCTAGTGTGAGATTTCATTGCTCACTCCGTTGTTCGTGCGGCTTCGCGTGCACTGAAATGCTTGACTAGCCGGAGCTACTTTTCTGATGATAGAGAGTTCACAGTGGGGATTACTGGCTGCCTAAAGTCATGGTGGGAGTTTTCGCGGGATGAGAAGCACCAGGGGCCGCGCGTGCTGGGGACATCCAGGGCGCCGGTAGTGCGCACCCTCAGGAGCAGCGGTGGGTGGCGGGCAGGCGGACGGGTTTGCGGCGGGGTCGGTCCCCTCCTGATGACAAAGCGGGTGACCCCACCGATGAATAACTCGGGAGGAGCTTTTGCATGAGAGACAAGATGTTCGCAGCGTTTTTTCCCCTGAAGAAACTGCGGCGCAATGGCAAATATCTTCTGTTCGGGGCGATTCTGCTGGTCGGAGTTGTGGCAGTGTACCATGAGATGGTGGCTGCAAAAGCTTGGAGCAGTGATACCAGTAAGTCTGTGGTCGCCGGTTACGACAGGTCTGACTCAACAAGTGTTGTTTTTTTAAGTGATGCATCATTCACACTGGGTTTGGATCTAACAAACAAAGTGTTACTGATACAACAGCATAACAATGGAAAGTGAGGATGTGCATGAAAAAGTTTGCAGAAAGATCTGGCTGCAGGAAAAATGAAGGGGTCACGCAGCAATAGGTAAAAATGGTGCAACTCCTAAAGAAACGTTGCAACAGTATTTTCTCACTTCCTTCCTTATTTGTTTTCATTAATTTCATTGTCTCACATTTGAAACTGTACTTTTATAGTGATAGATCTGCAATTAAAACATATATATTTGAACCACCTAATTTCTAATTCCCCTACAGTAAACTGGAGTTCATCAACACAACAAAGTGCCGCTGGATAAATAACCACAGAGATGAATCATCACCTCTCTGACACATATCAAGCAACATATTTTAAATGATGTGTGGTGAAGCCAAAGACAAAACATGTTTCCATGAGGTGCACTATGCACAATAAAGTTTTAACTAACTAATAACTAACAAAAGGACTATTCATTGCAGTTGTATTGGATTACAATTGAAGACTTTTCATTTGTTGTAGGAGTCACTATGTGAGCATTAACAGGAATACACTTTACATATACTTTTACTTTTCTTTAATTATGCTGGATTGTTGCACAGGAAACATGAGCCTAGAGCAGGTGAGACAACAGGTCGATTTAAAGAGATGGAGCAGTGTGTGTGTTTTAAGAGCAGGGGAAAGAGCGAGGGGGGGG